ATGGGTGGCAAGCCACTCCCATATGGTCACATGGGCGGCAAGCCACTCCCACAAAGGAGGCCACACCCACAGAGTAGGTTCAAACAATTTTTGAAACCCACCACTGATCTACAGCGTACTACAAAACCTATAATAGAAATCGAAAGTGATAAAGCATGGAAAAACACTGAAATCGGCAGAAAGCCACATTGCTTAAAATAGAAATTCTTCACCGTTTGGGAAAATAAAACAATATATGAATAAGAAATGTTTCTTTAGAAAATATTAATTGCCGCCATACTTTCCCTCCCACCGAACTCTCCTGACAAAAAGTCAGATAGAAAAATGCTATGAAATTCTTAATGTTTTATATTTTATGAACACCAGGTCATTAAAACATAAGTTAACTCTGGACAATCTCTTTTTAAAGGCTATAACCAAATATCACCTTTTCTATACTGGAGACTTTTCAGAGAAAATAATATGCATTTATTTATGCCCACTGCGAACTGTGCCTCATCTCCTAGTCCCTTTTATTCTGATGTATGGCCGTTATGGGCACCTTTACCCAAATAATTTGGTGTGCATTTTGACATAATGTGTATGTTTTTCATTGCAAGCCCACAGAGTGGAAGCAACGGTTTTCTTAATTTTAAAATCACTGGGCATATGAGGAAACAAAACATGTTTTTCACATACTGGTAAGTACAATCATAACATAAAAAGGAACCATAGCTTCCTTTGCTTTAACACAGTAGCTCCCATCCCTAAAATAAACTGTATGCAATGGAAGTGTCTGTTTTTAAATTGTAAGGACCCTCTTCTATTTGTTTAGGTTGCAACTTTATGCAAACTATCTGGGAGATAAAACCTATTCAATGATGAACTCAATGACGAAGCTGAAGAACAGCTTTTGAGATGTCATGGATCCCACGGAAAGCATTTAGAGTCATACAACTGAAAATTTCCATATGCCACTCAACCTCATTAAGTTTAATTAACTTCATTGCTAAATCATCAAAACATGCAATGCAGATGTACTTAGAACAGCTTGCTGAATTGAGAGGAACACTTTATGGGGCAATTTTGTAAATTATGTTGGAAACATCACTAATAAAAACAGCTTGACATCCTTTCACTTTATTCACAGTGGCAAGATTTTAGGTGTTACTTATAGTGCATTGGTCTGCATTATGAATATAGCCTGGCAGTAAACAATCCACACATAGGGAGAACATATTTTTAGCATGTTTACTGTTCAACTCAGCTGGTTAAATCAACTGACTTGATTCTGACTTTTAATGCCCTGAGGAAAAAAAGGGAAGTGAAGAAATACATTTAACGTTTTTCCTCCCCTTTCTCCTTTTCTAACAAATATGCCACAGACTGAATAGTAGGTGATTTTTGTAAAAGTCAGTACCTGCCATGAGGTTGGGCAGAATGCATTACTGTGTGATTGTACCAGAGGTGGGTTCCTACCAGTTTGCACCTATTCGGTAGAACCGGTTCGTCAAATCTACCGAACCGGTTAGAAGAGGTTCCACCAGTGGANTTACTCAGAAATATGTCTTACTCTGCTCAACGTGATTTACTCCCTACCTAGAAACATCAAAAGATTATGTTCCCCCAGGGCAATATACTTACTGAGGACAGAATCTAAATTAACATATATTAAAGTTAAACTTATTAAATTTAAAACTCACTTACCTATTAGAACAGATGGCTCCTTGGTAGAAAGTTAAGCCTCTTCTGCTATTCTAATTATTTTTTCATCATCTATAAAGGGAACACAATTTTTGCACTTGTTGCAGGGATTATTTTAATTTCTTCTTCCGTGGCCTCTTCAGGAAAAAACAGTGCTGAAGCAGTCAATATTATATTCTGAATAAAAGAAAAAAAGTTGTGTGGATCATCAGTACAAATCATCAGTTTGGCAAATATTTGAGTGACACTATTCTTGGCTCTTATGTAATGCTAACTAATTGAAACCATCTGATCAACACAAATAATGTGGGTCACTGCAAGGTGTTTGTTCCTGGCCACCACTGACCATTTTCAAAAAAAAAAAATGTTGTAATCTATAGTAAATTCTGCTAAACTGTGTTCTACAAATGCAAGAACAACCATCCTCTAAGGAAATGGCATCATTTGGGATCAACATCAAATTCATGAAATTCAGCTTTTAATGTGGTTGGCTGAGATTCTGAAAAGCCTTGGGAAACCTTCCATTATAAAATGAAATCAGAAGTAAACAACAAGACTTTCTTCCATTTTTAAATCAAGAAGTCAAAATATCATTGCTGGCAACGGCAGAGCTTTTAACGAAGCCGTATCTCAAGCCCTAGAACTTTCTCATCTGTAACTTATTACAGTCACTATAAATCTGTAGTTTAAAGGGTGTTAAATATTATATGACCCTGATACAAGAAAGCACACACAAATATTTCAACACAAAATATCATTCAAAGGGAATTTGCTCATATAAAAAGGCAGACCTTGTTTCTAAAGCCTCATGTGCACAACTTCTGCAAAACACTACTACTTGGATGAGCCGAGGTGGCGCAGTGGTTAGGGTGCAGTACTGCAGGCCACTTCAGCTGACTGNAGAGAGAGAGAGAGAGAGAGAGAACACATGGCTGGCAAGCCACTCCCACCAGGTCACATGGCTGGCAAGCCACTCCCCCAAAGGAGGCCACACCCACAGAGTAGGTTCGGAAAAAAAATTGAAACCCACCACTGCTTCTAACCAAATGGAAGATTAAACCTTTTTTTTCCCAAATGTTAGCATTAAGTTAAAGAATGTTGTTTAGCAAAGAGGGTGTATGGCTTTGTGGCAAAGATAACTTTTGAAAATATTTTCAAAATGTGACATTTTGTCCAGGATGCAAGCTGGATCATGTAATTCTTCCCAAGAGGGCAAATTCTACGCAAAGCACCAGCACCACCCGTATGAGTCATGAAAAAAAAATTGTAAAAATGAGCAAGTCATTTAAGCAGCTGCAGTTGGAAACAATTTTGGGGTCAGAACGAATAAATGTTATTTTCAGTGAAAATAAAATCGACTGGCCGCTTTAAATAAAAAAATATACATTTGCTATTTTTTAACCAAGGAGCTTAGTCTTGTTGCTATTTTGTCTATAGCTTCAATGTTTTAGCCCCAAGGCATTTGGATCATAAACATGCAACTATAAATGCATGTATACAAACACAAATATGCCCATTATTTTCTTATGTGGTTTCCCCTGTATTTTCCTACACATTTCCAAACATTTGATATTTGAGAAAAGAATTTCCATTAGCCACAATCTTATAGACATAAAGCACCATCCTAGGCAGATGGAGGGCATCCAAATTTTGGATAATGCAAACTGATATATTTTCTAATGCGGAAGCAAAATTTGGTTCAGGGCTTTTTTTTTGTATTTTAATTTATTTTTCTTTTTAAATTTTGTTAATAGTTTTATCAAATCACTGCAGAATGGAATGTAGAAAATTGTTTCCTCTGTTACTGGATAGATGGATACTTTCTAATATTCCTAAATTGTCTTTGCTCTTCAGGTCAGGCTAAGATAGGATTGTGTTTGTCTTAAGAAGTTGTCTTCTAATAAAATAGAGAACTCTTTGGTGTTGATCGACATCCCGGTTTGCCTCTTCATGGACTCTAAATAACCTAATGACTTTTTTCTCTCATTGACATCCTAAATTTTATGCTTGCAGGCTCTTTAGAGTTCATTTAAATGAACATAGGTAATATTATATCTAACATATTTAACTTCATGTAACTGATTTTCTATGCAAGAGGAAGGATGCTTTTGTCTTATCCAATCAACTTTTTTTTGGTAATTTCCCTTGATGCCCTAACTATAAAAGAAAATATAAGTTGGCTCTCGGAGTTCCCTCTTTGAAAAAGACCCCTTTTTATTAGAACATTCAGAATAAATCGTAATTAAATGACCTTCTGCCTCAGTTTGCTTCATTGGGGTATGTGTAAATTGAGGCACCAACCTAATGTTTGAGGAACGCCATAGTAAATAAACTATCTACATTTCTTTTGGCTATTAAATGGAGAATCACTTTTAAGGGAAGACAATTCATTGTGGTGTTGCTCTCTTGTCCTGGTAAAGTAAGTCTATTTTATTCATTGGGCTAAATTATAATTCCTTGATTTACTGTATATTTTAAAAATTGCTAGCGGGACATATGAGCCCCTTATCAGAAATCTACCAACTTAGATTAAACCAATTCTAGCTATAATCCCTAAAGTATTGATATATTCCAGTCACAATTGGCAATCAATGGAAGTAATTCTGAAAAGTTAGAAGAAATTAAAGAACTGGCAAACCTTCAAAAATAGCAAGATGCTCTCTTGCTTGAGAATCAAGCACTAAAGTAATTGTGTTTGACAAGGAGTACAGAGTGTACGATTGCAAATCACGTATAAATGGTGACACAGTCAGTATGTAATTAGAATGTTCATTAAAGATGGGGAAATGAATAGATAAAACTTATGAAGGAGAGATATATGTAGGAATGAATTCATAAGGAACCATTCACTAAGGCTGCAGTACTATTACTATTAGTCTTCTCATCGTTCCTATCACCCGTCTCTTCCCGCTTATGACTGCCGGGCTGTAACTTTGTTTCTTGTTTCCTTATGATTTATATTGATATTGATTATTCCTGATTGCTTATTTGTACCCTCTGACTATCATTAACTGCTGTACCTTATGAGTCTTGACGAATGTATTTTTTCTTTTTATGTACACTGAGAGCATAATGCACCAAGGACAAATTCCTTGTGTGTCCAATCACACTTGGCCAATTAAAATATTCTATTCTATTCTATTCTATTCTATTCTATTCTATTCTATTGTTAGTGCAGCATTTGGCAGTTATAGAACATTCAAGCCGGGAATCGACTACAAATTTTTTTAAAATGCAGGGTTGCATTTGACAATGACCCAAGTTCTCTTTTAAACCATATTCCAAATGCTTTCCAGTCTTCAAAAACATCCTTTACAACTTTAAATCCACTTTTAAATCGAGAGACAAGATTATTCTACATTGTGTAACTCTCTATGGGTTTTTTTTTCCTCCTTTTTCTGGTGCTTATATCCTCTCTGCTTTATTGTTTCCTCTGTAGCTCACTAATTGTTATAGAAAACAAAAGGGGATAACCTAGGGAATGAGAAAGGAAGTCCTGATCTCCTGGTCTCGTTGCAAAGTTAAGAAAATTTCACCTGCCAGTATTTAGATTTTATAAAAGGAAGCTAAGGAGGGTGGGGTAAAATAAACCATCTTATTTCAGAAAGCTGGGAGAGAGATACCAGCTCTTTGTTCTCTCTTTCTATTTTCAAGGATAATTTAAAAGAAGAAAGCACTTTTCCCCAACCCCTAGTATGTCATCACAGAAAACCAACAAGTTCCTCATCTGGGGAAATGCGAAAAGCAGTGCTTCTCAAAACATAAAGCTGTTGGGACCGTCTTCATCTGAAAGAAAAGGGCTTTGTCTGAGATCACAAAGATTAAAACAAACAAAAGTGTAGAAAGAAACTGAGAGATGGAGGGGGGGGGAGACGAACACTTACCACTTTAATTCTGCTGGGTGGGAAAGGTACCTGAAAATCTCCCTAAAATAAAATAGAATTCATTAGATTATCTCCTCCTGGCTGCTTCTCCCTTCTTCCACTGTTCAGATTCCACTTTAGCAACAGGAAAGGTGGAAGCACTTCCTCAATAAAATTAGAAATAGCTTTAGATTTTGCACTGTTATTCCACAGCAAGAAAATCCTAGCCGAATGAATCATTCCATCTCTTGGTATTCATATGGAGATGAATTCTCTTCNTTCCCCACTTGGAGCCGAACCCAGAAGGACATTTCTTTCAACAATACAGAGCATAGGGAGACCAGTTTCCCAGTAGAACTCTGGAGGACCTTTGGATAGGAGCAAATTGGGTGTTTTGGTATTGCTTTGCTGCCTTCCAATTATTGCCACAGCTGAAATCCCATCGCCCCATCCAATTCTCCAGGTGCCATCCTCAATTCATTATAAGGCTAGTCCTACCCCACCCAGCCAGGCTCCAGGCTTCCTTGTACAAACTTTAGTCCCCAAATTTACCTTCTGCAGTCCTTGGTCTGAATATTTAGAAACATGACACAGGTCTAGGTAGACAGCAAGGTTGTGAATGAGTTACAGATATAGAAATAGTCTCCACGTCACTTTAGTATCAAAAGATAATCTAATTATCTTTCAAAGATATGACCACGTAACACCGATTTGGAGCTCCTTCAAGCTTCTCTCTCATAAGCGCCAGTTTGCTGGCATTTTAACTCTTAGCATTCATCCAGTTAATTAATGGCTTAGATTAACTTGAAGGACTTGTTTTTCCTTTTTTTTTGCTTATAATTTTAAACTGCCTGGCATGTAATCTGTATATCTAAAGAAGCAGGGCTAAGACATTTGCAGCTGAAATACTGGCCTAAGAGCTCAAATTAACCTCCAGGGCCACGTAAAATGGAAAGTAATTTTAAAAATCTCCAGATAATGCTTTCTCCTGTGTCATAAAACACAATTTAATGCCAGGCATGTTTTCACTTGGCTTGCAAAAAAAATTACTAAAGCTGTGAATAATTTTCTGGAACATCTGCGAGGTGTGGCTTCTGTCATAAAGGATAGCTGGCAGAAAAACCAGTCTACTAAGACATGAAAAGCAAGCCATAGAGTAACATATCCTAGATTGGATGTGGGGGGGATTCTGATTCAACCAATGGTGAGGATTATACACCAGCAACATCTGGAGGGCCAAATACTGTATGTTTCTCTTGCTGTTTGTTTATCAGATGTTTGAGTGGTTTATAAATCTTATAAACCAATCAGCCAATCAGATATATACTTTAATTTCTCCCATGCGTAATTTGGGATTAAAAGCAAATAACCTCACAATCACATTTCATAGAATCATAGCGCTTAAAGAGACTTATGATGTGTTAAAATGTTATATATGTTATAATAAATAACTGTTGTGGCCCAGCAGGTGCCGTTGGAGCTGCCACCAGACACCGACAGCGAGGGGCCCTATGAGTCAGCTCTGGAGGATGTG